CCAGCTGATGAAAAGGAGGAATAAAGCTTCCTTCCCTTTTCTTAGTCCAAGATTTGAAAATGGGTAAAACTGATTATTTATAATTATTTTTGTACATCTGCTTTCTCCTAATGACGCTCCCATTGTATTGCTGAATACATTATCCTTGAGGGTGGAAGGCCCTCCAACTCCCATATGCAATTGATAGCTGCTTCAGGTTGAAGGAATCATATTCTTATAGTTGGGTTTGAAAAGTATCATCCTCTACGTATTTAAATTTTTGAAGGACTTCGCTAAACTAAATGCATTTTTGAAGGACATTGGTAAACTAAAATCACAGATGCCTTAGCCTTGCTAAGCATCTGATTCCTGCACTAACTTCTCCAAGTTTTTTGTATTTCATTCCTTACACTCCTCAACTTATAAATCTTTCAAAAACTCCCAAATACAATGGGAAAGAGTATGTCTGAGGCAAAATTATCAGCACAAATCACATAATTCACAGACTAGTTTTTAAACCAAAAGGAAATTTGAAAGTACATTTTACAGAACACTAAACCAAAAAAATTAATCTTTGAAACTTTCTTGAAAGTTTTAGGTAGGATTCTCTGAAGGTTATGAGGCAGATGGTGTTTTTTTAGAGAGGAACATCGATTTGTTGTACCACCCATTTATGCATATGTTGGAACCCATGACCTTGGCATATCGGGATGATGCTGTAACCAACTGAGGCACCTGGCCAGGGCTCGAATTTTTTTTTAAAAAAAAGGCATCAAAGATTGGATTGCCCTTTTCCATCAGCTTTCCAAGGGTCCTAGTCACCGCATTCAGCCCAGTCTCCTTAGCCATCTATTACTAAGTTCCTGTATCTGATGCTTGAGACCAAATTCTGAATTTCAAAATCAAGAAGACAGAATTTTTTGTGGAAGGCACTCAGCCAAGGTTTTCTGATCATTCTTCAGCTAACTGGAATGCCCCATTATGAATATTCCAGTTTTCAAAGTTTTACTATGTTCAAAATAATTAGGGAAGAAATTAAGGGGTGGTATATATGTGTGATGAAGTATAATTTACTGTTAATTATAAAAACAAGGTAGTGAGTATGGAAGCGTTCACTGTAAAATTATTTTTGTTACTCAAGACTTATAACAATAGGGGGAAATTAAGACTGCTTTGCTAGTTCACTGCAACATTACCCAAGTGCCAATAATTCTATAAGCTTACATGTAGCATACAGCACAAATAGGTTAATCTGAGGTTGTAAACTTTCAATTTCTTGAATGACTTTCTTTGCACTTTCAAGTAAGCTGGTTAGTTTTGACACTTCTATACCAAAAGTAACTGTAAAGAACTGAAATTTTAGAGAAAGGATAATGTATTTAAGCATTGGCTTATTTGGGAAATATGAGTGGACATTTAATGTTAACAGATATTAATGCTTGAAGAAGCTTTAATTAGGGGAGGATAAAAGAAGTATGTGGAAACTATAAAGATTCTAAAGGGGATTTATAATAACTGCCCATGGTTTAAGAGGAAAGTTAAACTACTTAAGATGGAATAACTTGAACTTCAAGAAGTGAAAGGAAAGTGTGCGTGTGATTCCTGAGAGATGAGTGGGTGTCGCTGAAAGGCTGGTTAGCACTGACCAGCAGTGTTAAGGCTGTGTGCAGTCCTTAACACTTGGTTGGTTCCTACTCTTCAAAGCCTTTAATGCTGAATTAATACCAATGGAGCTAATGCAAAGCTAGAAGTATTTAAATTATTCCTTAAGTGATGTAGTTCCACTTTCCGTTATAGACGGAAACTACAAAAATACAAAAATACAAAACTACAGCCTCTGGTCAAAATAAATGAAGGTTGGACTAAGTGTGGTCACCAAAACCTCTCAAAGTATCAGTTATATTTGACTACTGACAGGCAGCTTAGAGCTCAGTATTAATTTTTCATCCATCATGTTTTTAAGTGATTTTTTTAAAAGAACCCATTTATAGATGACTCGGTAAGAGTAAGAATTTAAATAGTATAAAGTGCAAAAATAATGTTAATGCTTTTCCCTAAGGTTCTTATGAAATTATATAAATATTTCAGTGTTCAATTTAAATAACATCCCCCCTCATTTTTAAAATATAAGGTTACTCAGAAAGTTTGACCATCTATATAGCTTGTCAATTTTGAAAATGTCAACAGAGTACTTTTTCTCAAGGTGTGAAGTGTTACTACAAAGCAACCAGCCTCGCATATGTAACTGGAATGGTTTTTAACATGCATCCTCCCAGAAAAGTTTCCTTACTATTAAAAGACACAAGCTATCATTTAGATTTGGAGGACTATTTTATACTGATTTTTCTTGAAATTAAAATCAATACAGCATTGTAAATCCTAAGCTAAGGATTTTTCTTATAAGCTAAGAAAACTAGAATGTAGTTCTGTTTGGAAAACAGGTGTTAGAAGCAAAGAATTCTGGTTTTCCTCAACCTACTTCTAAGAAGCTATTTCTAAAAAGCATTAGTACTTAGGCATTTAGTTCATAGAATTATACTCCAAAACTACAGTAGTAATTTTGCTTGTTTCAATCACACTTTTTTGAGGAACACTCCTACACAAGCTGTAACACACATTAAGATCTAAGAGTAATGAAGTCTTAGAAGAGTCAGTCCATTTCTAGGACTGTCTAGGCATTCTCTCATCTGAAGAGACCAACCCTTTAAATTTTCTAAATGCATTCTGAAAGAACCTGATTTTATTTGAAATCTCTTTTATATACTGGTTTATACTGTAGCTTATAAACTAACATATAGGTTGAATATTGTTTTGAATTATGTTAACTAAATATACTAAAATCACACTTTAAAAAATGGTACCCAATCCATCCACTGAACATCCATCTACCTCCACAAATTATTTATTTTTATAAATTGAGTGGTGGTATATCCCTACAATATAAATTCAGGAAATATTAATCATAAAACTCTATAAAATTAGGAAAAATACTATCAAAATACTGTATTAACTTGAGAGAAGTTGAATCAACCTGGAATATCTAACACTTTATCACAGTATTATATTTCTAAAAAATCTTTTTGACTAAATTATACTTAATTTGTAAACATCCTTTGAAAGGTATACAAGATATAAATTTCCCAGAGGGCCTAAATCAACCCGGTAAGCCAATGCCAGCATTTAATGCTATGACCCTAAACACCGTATTTTTATCAAGGGAGTGATTTAGATGCTAAGGTGCATAATCCTCAATAACTTGAAAATGTTTTACATGTTTTTATATATGAGTTCTGACTCAAAACTTACACATCTCACTGAACCCCACTGGTCCTTAAATTCTTGGGAGTAATGAAATTGTTTGAAAATCCAGAGCCTAGACCTGAAGCTTAGGTTCCAGGATGGCAGGTTATGATCCTCTACACCACACCATGCTGCCATAAGTAGCATATTTTTAGCTATATGAGGTCCCAAATACTTTACCACCCTGTTTGGAAAGTAAATCTAATTTTTAACTAAGAAATCACAATTTTAATTTAGTTTAGAAGAATTATAAATTTATTTCTAAATACCTTTTTTGTTAAACTTTGACTAATTCTGCCTCTTGCAGTGGGATTAAAATAAAGACAAAACTCCTTATTAATCTAATAGAACAGTATGTCTTAGAATAGCTGTATCTCAAGTAAACACTACAAGTAATATCTTAAGTCCTGAAATTAAAAATTTATGTTTAAAAATAAATTAGCCCAGTGGCACCAGATTAAATCCTAGGCTCCAAATAAAAAACCTGGCATATGCCCCCATTATCTGTTTGCAGCTGTAAAATAACAGCTGCTATACAGAAATTGTTTATTATTCATGGGGAGAAAGAAAATAAGCCATTGCAGTGGCCATCTTTATTCTCATTAACTTTTCCTCTATGATTATGAACAAATGGAGGTAGGTGGTGCCCTACAGTAAAGTTGGGAAGTATCTGATTCAGTAAACATTATCTTTAAAGGAAATGATTGTATGTGTAAAGCATTTGCTGTATTTAACAATTTTGCCCTAAGTATCCTCTCTTAAATGGCCCAGGAAATAATTCTGTAACAAAAGTGAACCCAGAAGACAATTTTCCTGCATACCAGTAAAACTGCCAATTTCCACCACTGAGTCACAGAAACTACTTTCACTGAAGCTTATAATCACTTCTTTTCCTAATTGTACTCTTTTCCCTCTAAACATTATTTTAGTTTAGCACGTTTCTGTCAAAAACTATTCTATACCAAAGAGACATAGCACAGTAGTCAGGGAGAAGCAATCTGGAGCCCAGTCACCCTCCACCACCCGCCGCCCCCCCTCCAGCTCCAAAGTCTAACAGCTGTTGACCTTGTGCATGTCATTTAACCTCTTTGTTCCTCATTTCCCACATGTGCAGTGGAATTTATTTCATAAAGCTGTTATGATGATGAGTGAATGACGTAAAACTTACAGAGCAGTGCCAAGCACATAGTTATATGCTCAAAAAAGTCTGAATTATCATCATCCCAGTTTTTCCATCAAACAAAATATCTTCCTAAATAGCCTCGGCTCAGGGGGTGTCCAACCTTTTGGCATCTCTGGGCCACACTGAAAGAAGAGTAGCCTTAGGCCACACCTTAAATACACTGCAACACAATCACAAAAAACTCTCATAATATTTTAAGTAAATTTACAATTTTGTGTTGGGCCAAATTCATAGCTATTCTGAGCCGAATGCACCCATGGGCCACAGGCTGAACCCCCTGGCCCCAGGGATTACAATGGAAAACCAAATCAAAGGTAAGTCAAATGATTAATCATGTTCAGAAACACTGTCTTATTAACCTATTCCTAAAATAATGATTATATGCATAGTAAACACATTATTCAAATCATAGTATTTGGAATGAGTGCATATATGTGTGTGTAAACCCAAACATTTATTTAGAAAATATAAAAATTTACTATTAATAATTGTCTTGCTCTTTCTTCCATTTATCTTTTAAATTTTCACTAATGCCACATAATTTTATAACTAAATTTTATTATAGCTGAACACTTCAAAGAATTGTAATTTGTAAATAACTTCTGCTATGATTAATAGAGAAATTCTATTCAGGAAGTACAGTATACATGAATTTATGGTACTTGCCCAAATATTACAAGTACATAAATTATTTTGTTAAGTTGTTTCTTACACATGGGATTGAAAATGCAAAGAAAAATGGAATTTGTATTCAAAACAAATAGAAGCAATGCTGGTTCCTATATGTGAAAACTGTAAGACAGATTTTCTTAAGCACTATAGATACAAACATTAACTGTATGGGCGGAGAACTTTTTAATATAATTCAACAAGGTACACAAGTAGAACTCTATAAATATATCCCCTATAATAATCATAATTATCACAAATACTACCAAAACCCTCTGAAAAACATAAACTACAAACACATTTTAAAGAAATTCTCAGTCTTAACTACTACAAAAGCAATTAATAGCAGTAAAGTTATTTGGTTTAAAAACTGAAGGGCAGTGTAATGTAAATCCGAATACTGCAAAGGTGTTTTTTGAGGCTGCAGTCTTGAGTTTCTTAATACAAGGTACTAAACACTTTCAAAAGTAATAAGATGTATTCTGTACAATTTAAAGTCTTCACCTAGAACTTTAAAAAGAAAAAAATTAAGCAGTAGATGAAAAGTAGGTATGTAGAAATAATGGTATAAAATATGATTTTTATACAAAATGTACCACTCTTTAAATATATAAGGCTTAATATGAATATATTTGGACTATGAGTGTTGCACGTAATTTTTAGAGTAGTCTCAAACCATTCAAAATTCGGTGTTTTAGAACATTTTGCTATTTCTGAAGTGCATGAACATAGTACTGGATTCAATTTAATGTCAACTTACCTATGCTTTTCCATCTCATAAAAATAAAACCTTTTTTTTTAAGCTCAGGAGAGAATCTATCTTTTGAATGCTTAATCTCTATATAAATGCAACTTTTTAGGAATGTCAGAATTTTAGAATATTTATCCACCAGGAACTGGCCCAAGTTTAAACAGAAGACACAAAATAGACATAGGTGTCAAACAGTTTGCCTTATACAATTGTACAGTCATAACCACTTTTTACATGAAAGTGCTTTAAAGTGAAAAATATTTTGTAAAAGGTATTATTGATATTACGAATACAGTAGTCTCCCCCTTATCCATAGTTTCACTTTTCCATAGTCTCAATTACACATGATGAACTATGGTCCAAAAATACTAAATGGAAAGTTCCGGAAATAAACAATTTACAGCTTTTAAATTGCATGCCATTCTGATCACCTTGCTTTACCTCATTGTGTGGACACTATAATCATCTCACACCATCACAAGAAGGGTGAGGACAGTACAGTCTTTTGAGAGACCACATTCATGTAACTTTTATTAAAGTATATTATTATAAGTATTCTATTTTATCATTAGTTGTTACTTCTTACAGTGCCTAATTTATAAATCATTGTCACAGGTATGTATGTATAGGAAAAAACATAGTAATATATAGAGTTTGGTTCAGTCTCTGGTTTTAGGCATCGAACCAAAGCGGTCTTGAACATATCCCCATTGATAAGGTGAAAACTACTATACTTAATATCCAAGCAGAATTTTCTAAATTAGTTCAATTTCACCCATTTTTTTTGAAAAGTACCCTTCTGCCACAGTGTAAACAAAGAATGATCCATAAAGTGGTGACATCAGACACATAATTTGTGGTGTGGTTCCTTAAACTGAGATCAAATCTTGACCCTGGCCAGGTCGCTCAGTTGGTTAGAGCATCATCCCATACACCAAAAGGTTACAGGTTCAATCCCAGGTCAGGACACGAACCTAGCTTGTTGGTTCAATCCCCGGTCAGGGTGTATATGGCAGGCAACTTATCAATGTTTCTGACATTGATGTTTCTCTATCTCCCCTCCTCCCTCTCTCTCTAGAATCAATCAACATATCCTCAGGTGAGGACTGAAAAAAACAAATTTGAAAACAAATCTTTATTAACCCAAAGCTAGAGAGGTTTTATTCTTGCACATGCCCAAGGTAACTAATATTAACTCACATTTTCTGTAAGCCTTGAGGATTTTTATTTAACATAATGATAGGTTTAATAACTTATATTAAAGACTACCTAGCACTCTTCTCTTGTTCACCAACTGTTTTTATGTCGATAACTCCGAGATCTGGAATGTGATCGAAAATGAGAGTGTTTTGCTGTTTGTGCTTTAGTTTCAGAATTGGTATACCCTTTAGGAGATTTACATGGGGATCTTGCTATGGAGTCAGAATGTCTTCCATGTGATCTTGATTTTGTTCCTGAGCTAGTCTGCTTTTGAGGTGAACTTGATTGTGATTTTCCCATTGACTTGGACCTTTTTTCTAAGGACTTGGACCGTGACCGTCCTCTAGAACCAGAATTCCTTCTTGGAGTTCTTGACTGCCTTGCTGAGGTAGACCGCCTCGGTAGTGATTTGGAGCGAGATTTAGACTGGCTATAAGAAAATCGCCGGTGTCGAGACCTGCAAGCATCCACAATGTTAGAGTATACATTTCATACAAAAACAGTTAAGAGATTAGAAAAAATACTTTTAGGAAATTATATACTTTACATAATATTAGTTATGCTTTTATTGGCTAAGTTGAAAGAAATAACTCTGATTTTATTATGCATGCTTTGGTTTAAATATTAAAAGTTTGTAATGTTTATTATACTAGAACATATAACCAAAAGACTTTTACTTTACTAGATATATCTTATGACACGGATCAGTTCTGGAAAATGCCCTGCATATTTAGTTTGGGTTGCACAACTCCTAAGAGGTTTGAAAGTCTAAGGGAAGAAAGGTAAAAGAGAGAAAGGAAATAATTATGTAAAGTTTATCAAATAATGCTTGTAACAACCAATACCTAGAAGTAGGACATCTGAATTCTGCCATGATAAAAATAGCTTCTAACAGCTGTTTTCAGACTAACCTTCCCATAGAAAACAGCTATATGAAAAAGTCAGACAACATTCATAAAACAACTGTTTGAAGGCACCAATACAAGCAGAACTTGAGTGGTGATAAGCTGTAGCTCTTTTATTCATACCATTTTCCTAATGCCACCACCATGAGGGAATTGAGCCCACCCAGAAAATCTCTAATGAACAACCTGAAGAGACAGAAGTTAGAATTGATGGGTACCAAAGTGGCTGAGACTTGAGAGGCAAAATCCCAGAGATGAGAGAACTGCCAACAAACAAGCACAAAAAAGAAACCTAAAATCTGCCTATAAATTCTCAAGTCACTGGACATCTAAGCTATGCACGCACAGGATGAAAATCCCAAGAGGTAAGCAAAAAATGGCAGCTGAAAGATTCAATAACTGAGCTGAAATTTTATCAGACACAGTGCTGGGGACAGAGGCTGGAGTTCAAGTCCCCAAAAGGTCAAGAGCCTTAAGTAACCCAGGCTTCCAATTAAGAATCTGGAGGGGCTGTACCCTTCAGGTAAGAGCCATGCCCTATGAATAAACCGTAATGCTGAAATAGATCAGCCTTAACAATGCCACAAACCAAGCTTTGAAAGGACCAAGGTGATCTGCCAATACTCTGCATGCTAGAAGAAAATAACTTTCTTTGAAGAACGGTAGCACTTGAAAGCGTCTACAATTTTTCATCAACAATGTTCAACATCCACTAAAAAAATTATGAGGTATGTGTAAGATACATTAAAACGACTAAAAACTAGACCAAAAATAATTTGGATATTAGTGTTATTCAGACAGGAATTTTAAAAATTACTGGTATGTTTTAAAAAATAAGAGAAATAAAACACGAAAAAGCTGGAGAATTTCAAAAGAATTTTAGAATATAAAAAACAAATGGACATTTTGTAACCAAATATATATCAGAAATTAAAGTCACTAAATGAATTTAACAGTAGTCTAGACACAACAGAAGAAACAGTGAACTGAACTGAAAAGTTATTAGAAAAAGGCTATACTGAAACACAATAAGATAAAAAGAATTTTAAGAAATCCAGAACAGAGCATAGGAGATATTTAGAATATAGTCACATGGCCAAAAGGAAAAACTGAATAAGGCAGATGCAGAATCTGAACAGATAATGTCCTAGAATTTTCCAAACCTAATGAAAAGCATCAATCACAATTTCAAAAATCTCAGTAAACTCCAGGTTAAATAAGTACAAGGAAAACTACACAAGGCATATCACAGTGAAATTGCTGAAAAGCAAAGTCAAAGAAAAAAATTTGAAATCTGCTAGAGAAAAAGACATCATCTTCAAAGGGGCAACATTAACAATGCCAGCTGATGATGGATATTAAAACAATGGAATGGGCAAAATGGAGGCACAGGTATATAGGCTTTGCCTCCTTGCACAAACAAAAGAAACAACCAATTTAAAAACAAAAAACAACCAGGACTGCCAGAAAATTGAATTGTACGGAAGTCCAACAACCAAGGCGTTAAAGAAGAAACATTCATCCAGACCAGTAGAAGAGGCAGAGATGGCAGCCGGAGCAGAGGACAAACAGCAAGACAGCAGCAGGTAAGGTGGCAGCTGGTGGACTGGGCAGCCCCACATTCACATTAGGATAAACCAGGAGGAACTGGGAGTGAGACATACCAAGTAACCCAAGGTTCCAGCACAGGCAAAATAAAGCCTCAGAAACTCTGGCTGTAAAAACCTGTGGGGGTTGTGTTGGCAGGAGAAACTGCCAGTCTCTTGAAAGTGGGGTGCCAGCTGAACAAGCAGCATTGTTCCCTCTCTGGCCCTCCCTCACAAACAGTGCCACAATGAAGCAACCTAGGCTGTCCTGCCTAGGCTCCACCGCTTATAACATTAACAGGTGCACCAAGACAAAGAAATATGGCCCAAATGAAAAAACAGATCAAAACTCTAGAAAAAGAACTAAGTGACAAGGAGATAGCCAGCCTATCAGATGCAAAGGTCAAAAACACTGGTAATCAGGATGCTCACAGAAATGCTTGAGTACAACCGCAAAATAAAAAAAAAGTGTAGGCAATACAAAGTGAAATAAAAATATACTGGGAACCATCAGTGAAGGGAAGGAAACCAGGACTCAAATAAATGATCTAGAACAAAAGGAAGAAATAAATTCAACTGGAACAGAATGAAGAAACAAGAATTCAAAAACATGGAGAGGCTTAGGAACCTCTGGGACAACTTTAAATGTTTCAACATCTGAATCATAGGGGTGCCAGAGAGAGAAGAGAAAGAACAAGAAATTGAAAACTTACTGGAAAAAATAATGAAAGAAAACTTCCCCCATCTGGTGAAGGAAATAGACATACAAGTCCAGGAAGCTCAGAGAGTCCCAAAGAAGTTGGACCTAAGGAAGTACACACAACAGGACACATCATAATTACATTACCCAAGATTAAAAATAAGTAGAGAATCTGAAAAGTGGCAAAACAAAAGGAGACAGTTACCTACGAAGGAGTTCCCATTAGACTACCAGCTGATTTCTCAAAAGAAACCTTGCAGGCAAAAAGGGGCTGGAAGAAGTACTCAAAGTCATGAAAGGCAAAGATTTATGTCCAAGATTACCCTATCCAGCAAAGCTATCATTTAGAAAGGAAGGGCAGATAAAATGCTTCTCAGATAAGGTAAGGTTAAAGGAGTTTACCATCACTAAGCCCTTATACGAAATGTTAAAGGTGCTGATCTAAGAAAAAGATCAAAACTATGAACAGTAAAGTGACAACAAACTCATAACTATCAACAACTGAACCTCAAAGGAAAACAAAAATGAACAAAACAAACAACTAGAACAGGAACAGAATCACAGAAATGGAGATCACATGGAGGATTATCACTGGAGAGGTGGTGGGAGGAGAATGGGGGAAAAGGTACAGGGAATAAGAAGCTTGGTAAGTACAAAATAGGGGGAAATTAAGAATAGTACAGGAAATGGAGAAGCCAAAGAACTTATGTGTACCATCCTAAGGGGGGAGGGTAATGCTGGAGGGAAGGGGCTACAAAGCAGAGGTAGATAAAGGGGAGAAAAAAATGTGACAACTTTTAATAGAATAATCAATAAAGTATACTTAAAAAAGTAAAAACAATGGAGTGATGTTATTACAGAAAAAAGGCGGGGGAGTCCTTACCAACCTAGAAATCTATCCCCAGCAAAAATATATTCTTCAAAAATGATTATAAAATGAAGATGTTTCAGACAAGCAAAAGTTGAAACAATTCATCGCCAGCAGACCTACAGTATGTATAAGAATACTAGCACTGGCTGGGTGGTTCTGTTGGTTAAAGCATCATCCCATACACTAAAAGGCTGCAGGTTCAACCCCCCAGTCCGGGCACATGCTTACATTGCGGGCTTAATCCTCGGTTGGGGTGCACAGGGGAGGCAATCAATCAATGTCTCTCTCACATCAATGTTTCTGTTTCTTTCTCTCTCCCTCACCAATAAACATATCCTCAAGTGAGAATTAAAAAGACATACTAAAAGTTTTTAGGGTGAAGAAAAACAACCCCAGATAGAAGCATGGAGCTACAAGAAGGAATAAACAGCACTAGAATGTATAAATATATTAATCCATAATACATTCTGGAATAAAAGCAGTCCTTTAGAAATTATTAAATTTCAGCCTTAGCTTGGTATCTCAGTTGGTTAGAGGATTTTTTCCAACATGCCAAGGTTGCAGGTTCAATCTCCAGTCAGGGTATCTACAAGCAACAACTAATGAATTCATAAACAAGTGCAACAACAAATCAATGATTCTCTAGTTTTCCATTTTCTCTCTAGGAATCCATAAATAATATTTTAAAAAAGAAATTATTAAATCTCATTCTTATGGGACACAGTTATAGAAAAAAAGAAAATACTGTCCTTGAAAAAATCTTACATGGAAAATAATGGATGTTATTTAAACAAACTTTGAGCTGGAGACTACTGCTAAGTAGTAGGGATATAAACATGAATAACACAAAAATCTTTGCTTCTCAAAAAGCTCAGTCTAGTGATAGCAACAAACTAGTTTTCCATACCTACTGAAGGCAAAATAAGAGTCCTGTTTTTAGTCCAAGGTAATATCACATATACAGTATATATGTATAGTACATTATGTCAGGCTTATACATATTCTCTCTCTCTCACACATGCAGACACATACACACAAAATTTGATCCTTGTGAAAACCTTTAAAGTTAGGTAAGATTTACATTCTCTGTAATATAATTTTACAGATTAAAAAAACTGAAGTCAGTAAGGTTAAACAGTGATCTTATAAGTAGTACGAAGCAAAGCAGCATTGTCTTGCATGAAAATGTGGTTCTTTCTATTTTTGATACTCCATGATGATTAGGGACAACAGACTTTTTTTGTTTTTTCTCCAGCCAGGTATTATACTTTACTTGAACTAGAAGGCAGAAAATGATGTGAATAGCCACTTTTTTATATATTAACCAGGAGAAAAACTGGTTAACTAAGGCTATAATGCATTGGGAAACAATATATTCTTAAATAATCAAATGGGCAATTTCTTTTCTTTTTCCTTTTATAAACTGTTTTTCTACCAAGACCACTGGATTATTCAGTATGCTAAGACAGTGCTACTTTAGGCACAATATTACATCTCCTTTGATTTTTGATATATAAAACTGTCATGTTTATGTACTATCCATATCATTCTAAGTTTAGGTAAACTATACATATATAGTTTATACTATTTATAGTAACACATACAGTCTACACATGTATAGTATATAAATAGTAAACAGAGAGATATAAAATTCATAGCAATGTGAATGAACTATTGAACATCAATCCCTTAACACTATTTATGTCCTCTGTAAAGCCAGAAGCAACACCAATGGTATTGGTGTGGTCTGCCTATACACAAGGCATGTAAAATTTTTTTAAATCTTAATTTGCTCTTACCATATTTTAAGCCCTGTAAATATAATTTTGTATTTGAGTATGGAAACTGTATATCAGAGTCTAAATCTCAATCAATGAGAAAACTAACTGTGGGACAAGCTGGATGATTCTCCTAGATGCAAGGTCTATATTCTTATGTATATTCTTATATAAATCTCTCGAGTATAACTGTTCCTAAATATTTCTTCACCAATCTCAGAACCAGTCAATCCTGACCTGGATCCTCCTGGCTTTGAAAAGAAGCTTAACGCTTCCTCCTACCTTCATGCCTCCGAAACATAAGCCAAATTCAAATCTGGTTCATCCCCAAGGAGAGGTACTGATCTGACGTGTAGGAAATTCAATCTGCCTGGCTGGTGTAGCTCAGTGGATTGAGCACAGGCTGTGAACCAAAGCATCGCAGGTTCAATTCCCAGTCAGGGCACATGCCTGGGTTGCAGGCCACGGCCCCCAGCAACCACACATTGATATTTCTCCCTCTCTCTCTCTCTTTCTCCCTCCCTTCCCTCTCTAGAAATAAATAAATAAATAAATAAAAAGAAATTCGATCTGACTTGCAGGGCTCTGACTAGGCTGGCCACATTTTCTAGTAATAAGGATTCTTGGATTTTAAAAAGTCATAGAATGTGGATGTGGTTCTCTCTTCCTATTTTTTCCTTCCACTTAACTGGAGGCATTGGCAACAGGCCACTTCATACTCTTCTTTTTAGAACTAGGGACTCCAGCTCTAATACATGTATCTTCTTTTGAGCTTTTTCTTGTCTGGGCTCTTAAGAGTTGAGGAATGGAAGGACTGGAGCGAAAGTGAGCAGCCCTGATGATCAGCTTTGATTTGAAGCTAAGTGGGCCTACACAGCTTAAGTGCACTATATAGAGTACAGAAAAGCTAACTCTTTTATTACTCACAGAAAGAAGATACTAGTCTAAATGGTCTGATCATTCTTTAAGAATAGAATCCACCTTAAAATTCTACATGAAGTTCTCTATGAAAACATTTCAGCATTAAAACTCAAGACAAATAGTACAAATGTTTAAGAACTTATACATGATAACACAACTTGTTATTATTTCAGTAACTTCACCCAGCAATTAATTTCCATTGTGATTTACTACTCTAAGAGAAACAAATTCCTGGGTAGCAAAATAAGTAACTTGGAAATATCTTTTTCTGAAAAATCTACTATTTTTATGTCTTCTTCCTTCAATACCACCATACTTGGAATTTATTCTTGAAAATAACTTACTTTTTATAAATATACTGATTTACATTAATTTTAGTGCCAGCCTCCTTCCCTTTTTTCAGTCATTGGAACTCAACATTCTTAACTGCTGGATTTATTTAGGAAATTTTTATTTATTTAAAATTCCTCACTTTTATTTTCAAGTATACACTTTTTAATTTTTTTCAGTATACATTATCTTTTCATTAAAAAGGTTCAATCTGTCACGACATAAAAACACTGGAAGGTATTTAATAAACTCAAGTTAATCTTTCCTTTCTAAGTTAATCTTTCTACAAAAGATGATTCATTATGAGCATTTAACAAAATGATTCTGGTAGCCTGTTTTTCAAAACCCTTAAAAATGTTTTCCAGGAAAAGTATGAAATTAAGTTTTCAATCCTCTTGGTGTTTTGTACTCACTCTTTAAGGCTATCAGACCGCCTCCTATTTCTTCCCCACGAAGAACTTCGACTTCGAGTTCTCCGTTGGCTGGGGCTTCTAGACCTCCTATGATCACTTGGAGAACAAGGGTGACGTTCTTTTGATTTCATTTGGCCTGGTGCTAGAATGTGAAGTAGAAGATTTATAATTCATTACCTGAAAATGTCCATCACAGCCACTCAACTCATTTTGCTGAATAAACATGATGCAATGTTTAGTCACACTTACTTTTGCGATCACCTTGTGCAAACTGTATTTCAATTTGACGGCCACATACCCACTTTCTATTGAGGTTATAAAGAGCATCTTCAGCATCGCGAACATCTTCAAATATGACTAGCTGTTAAGGACACTTTGAATATCACATATCAAGTAAAAATGTTATTTTAAAAGAATTATTTATATGACATGAAATTAATAGAAAAAACAAGTTCAAGTTATTAAGCTCACATCTCCAATATGAATAATCAGAAAAAATTCACTTTTATTATGAAAATAAATGCTCACTATAATGTAAAAGAGTGAATCTAAAAATAAACAAACATGCAACTATACTCTTAATGTATACATTAGTGCAGCTGTAGTATGCATGTATAATTTCAAACATGTTATGAGAGAGGAAAAAAAAGTCCAACATTGACTAAAACTCACTCCCTTCTTTCAGGCAAAAAATTCACCAGGTTTTTCACTGAAAAAAAAAAAATCAGCATGCGAAGACTGTATTCTGAAGTTAAAATAACTTTCAATAAAAATCTTTTTAATTTTGACATTTCAGAACAATTACTTATAAACAAAACTGCACACACAACTGAGCTAAAACATATTTTAAAACTGATCCAGTCCTTTAAAATGATCATATTTACCTTTGAATCTACTACTTTAAAATACCTTCATGCTTTTATTACTTGGGGTGTAATTATAGAAGAAACATAAAAGCAATCTGTAAACATCAATTACATATATTGGTCTGTAGTAAGCCACTAAACTCCCTTATCTATATAAATTATATATTAAACCTAACTAAAATGGAAATAAGCTATATAAACTGAATAGCTATATTTCAGATTATTCACTGGTTTAAATTTTTAAAAATAGAAAACAGAAAAAGCTCAAGAAATGTAATACAAAATGAGACTTTGGCAATTACCTCAATGTCACTTGATCTTGAACCTTGACTTTTACTCTTTAAGGCGTGCAAGATGGACTTTATAAGAGACGAAGAACCAACAAAATCAGACTTGGCTTTGACTCTGGAACTCTGAGTAAATGTAGGAAAGCCGAAGTCTCAACCTGGTGTTGGCTTTGTCTTTTCCTTGATAAAGACTTCCCCTCTTCCAGGTCTTTATATTTGTGTCCACCCTCCCTCTTTACTCCTTGACGCTTGAACTTTAGGTGCCTTTTGTCTCGCCTGCTTGGTTTATGCTTGATTCTAGCTAACAGGTTGGTTCAAACTGGGGGGCGCTTGCCAGCTACTGTGGACTGCTTTAGATTTTCTGAGATAAAGAAATAAACACATTTAATTAGGCAATATTAATATCGTACCATATGCTCCTGAATACATACATGTAATATGCACATGTATGTAGTATATTCACATGCACACAGTAAAATAAAGGATATTGAACATAAGCAAATCCTCTTGGGCGGCGGGTGTAGAAGTCAAGTGGAATGTAAACGTCTACTATAGGGCCATACCGACCAAACTCACGACGCAAGTCCTCAGGCCTAAATTGTTTTAGAAATAAGGCAAAGAAATATGAATAGCTGAATTATAGTATCATGCCCACAGAAATCCAGTTGAAACCCTCAAAAGAAGTACATTATCTAGACTAGCATTATGTAAAATTATCTCTCATAAAACTCACCCAAAGTTTACAAATGAAGGAAAAAAAGAAAGAAGAAAAATTCTCAAGCCTCTGCTTTTGGAGACTCTGGTTCAAGAAGTCTGGATTAGGAGCCGGAAATCTATATTGCTACAAGCACTCCGGGCGGCCGTTATGCCTAATCAGGTTGGTGAAACACTGACCCAGCACATCCACCCTTGACAGTTATCCCTATTACAAGATTTTTCAACTGTTGATATAAAGTTCTAACTATGGACTATTTCATTAGGAACACATTGATTTGCTTCACAATTTTATGTTTACATTAATTTTGTTTTGCAAGCACAAGAATTACATTTTAAAGAAGTCCTAAACTCATTTCCCAGGCTTCAAAAAAATGGACGTTTTATTATTGAACATAAGGCAAAATAACTACTATATTATCAAATTTGACAAATATTCTTGAGCTTCCTATACACCTTCTACTGTGATAGGTATTAAAGAGGGAATATCAAAGAAATACATTGCCTACTTGTCTTTATGGGGCTATAATTTAATTGAAGAGACAAGATACTTAATATTGATAGCTTACAGTTACAGTGCATTTGTATGCTAGCTTCTGCTCACCCTAAGACCACTTAATTCTCACAACAACTCCATGGCTGTTTACAGATGAACTCACCTAAGATCACTGAGCCAACAAGTGACAGAGCTAGAATCAAACTCCCCTACTCTGACGCTAGTCTGTGTTCTTAACCACCATAGTGTACCATCTCATGGAGACCTTAAGAGATTCAGCATCAACCTATGGGCACAAAACATGGCTCAGAAGAAATAAGAGAACTTCAAAACACTGTACAGAAAAAAAAAACCAAAACCTTAAAAATGACTGCAAATGTCCTAGCTTGGATAAATGGAAGAAAGATGGTGTCAGTGACAAAAACTAGCTGGAAAACAGATCAAAGAGGGAGGAGAAAGGCAAGAGAAGTTTTCAGGTTTAGAAGTATAAAATTTGAGGTGATAGTGGAACACCAATTAGCATTCTATAAGCAACTGAAAATTGTGACTGTACAAATTATATTAATTAATTTTATTTTCATCTCAAGACTAGAAGTCAATGATTAAAGTTAGAGATGTGGACTTAGGAATTATTATATAAAGATTCAACTAACACTGACTATGTAGCCACTATATACCAAGCAACGCAGTCAATACTATGACACACTTTATTTTTATGATTTAGTATTTTTATTTCACTCAGTACCCATTATAACATGTTATCTGCCTTCCCTGAGAGACTAGAGACTACTGGCTTTAGAGGACAGTGACAATGTCTTTTTTTTTTTTTTTCCATTTATTCATTCAACAAATACTAAGCACTACGGGCCAGCCTCTAAAGTCTAAGGTATGGTGGAGAAAAGAAAAACACAATTCCTGCTCCCATAAAACATGGGCAACAGGGTAAAGATTCTCAACCACTCCTGAATATTGGAATCATTTGTGAAAAAGATGAAACAGGCACTCCAGCCTGATGCATTAACCCTGGACCTAATTAGTGCTCCCCATGATTAAGTCCCAATTATTATTAAATTTTTTAAGGGCTTCACAGGCAACTCTACAACTCAGAGTTGAGAATCACTTCTAATGCAGGTGTCTTCACCACTGTATTATCTCAGTACTTGGCATAGTTGCTTGGCACACAGTAGGCATTCAATATATATTTGCTATGTTAGTGAGTGAAGGATACCTTATTGTTACCATTTAATAGAGAGTAAGGGACGTTACTTTGCCAAGAGGTACACACAGTCAATAGCAAAGCTAGAACCCAAATTAACATCATCTAAGGCAGTCAATCCTAACCAAATGTAAGTGACTGACAGAAAAAGATTCTAGATGGTAAAAAGAAGGAGGCTGGAGCAATGTGTACCACAGAGGCCTGGAGTCCCAGAAGATAAGGGTGACAGAAGTCCAAAGGAACAAATCTTCTCAAAAGAGCTGGCTCCCTCCCATTCACTGTCTCCACTACCTCACCTGCTGGCTGTTGTTTTCTTTTATTTTTGTTTATTTTTTTGTATTGGTTGTAATCTATTTCAAAACAAACATCTATGTATCCACCAACAAGATTTATTATATCTCAATATGTGTCTATTTGTCATAATTTTTAGTGTTTTCTTTTAGAAATGAGATATTGGGTTGGTCAAAAAGTTCATTTGGTTTTTTCCATAAGGTGGCTCTAATAGCACTTAATTGTCTTTAACTTTCTTCAAAACAATTTTGTTAGATTGTATTGTAACAGCTGTCCTATCAGCATGCATTTTAAAAAAATGGGTGAATTTCAGTGTAGCCATTTTAATATGGAAGATGGAAAAAAATACACATTTTCAGCATATTATGCTTTATTATTTCAAGAAAGGTAAAAACGCAACTGAAATGCAAAAAAAGATTAGCACAGTGTATGGAGAAGGTGCTGTGACTGACTGAACATGTCAAAAGTGGTTTGTAAGTTTCATGCTGGAGACTTCTCATTCATTAGACAATGCTCTACGGTTGGGTAGACCAGTTGAAGTTGACAGTGATCAAATCAAGACATTAATTGAGAAGAATCAATGTGACACCATGCAGGAGATAGCCAACATACTCAAAATATCCAAATCAATAAAGTTATTGGTGAAAACAAAAAAATGTGTTTTATTTTATGGAAAAAAAACTACATGGACTTTTTGGCCAACCCAATATTAGCAACAATCATTGGTCTTCACCATTCCTCTGCATAACTTTGTATTTTTACTGCTAATGCATATATCTATAAGTACACTATTTTTAAATGTATCAAATTTTATGTAAATTGCCTCCAGCTATTTTTATTATTTTGCACCTTGCCTTTCCCTCCATTGAGACTTCTCCATGTAGCTCTAGTTCACTCATTTTAACTTTGTATTGACATTTTTGTGAATGAACTACAATTTATTCATCCATTTTTCTGTGCATGAACATTTAAGATGCTTCTTTTTTATTAAGTCGCAAACTATGGTACAGTATACATTACAATCTGTGTGCTTCCTAGAGCTCTGCTAGAGTTCTCCTGCCTGCCTTCAACTTCACATGTTCTCCAAAGTGGCCATATCAACTTATACTCCTCAAAATATGCATAAGAATTCCTACTGCTCCACCTCCTCATTAACAACTCTTAATCCTCACCATTCTGAAAGATGTAAAGTGAATGGGTGCCTCCTGGTTGTTTTAATTTTAATTTACCTAATGACCAAGGAGGTGGAACATCTTTTCAAGCTTATGGGTCATTAATTTTGTGTTAATACCTGGAAGTCGTGTTTCTGGATTAAAGAGGATGTATATGTTTAACTTTTATGAAACTGCCAAAAAGTTCTGCAAAGTGGTTATACCATTTTATAATTCCACCAGTAAGTATTAAGAGTTTCATCTGTGCCAATCTTTGTCAGCACTTCGTATTAAGTCTTTCTAATTTTAGCTGTTCAAGGGGCTAAGTAGAATCTTACTTTGGTTTCGATTTGCATTTCCCTTATGACAATGATGCTGAGCACCTTTTCTTGTGCTAACTGGACAATCAAATTTTTCTTTGTAATGTGCCTAAGGCTTTTGCCCATTTTAATAATAATGTTTTTTGTATCAGTTATAAAAGTTCTGCATATTTTCTGAAAAAGTCCTTTGTCAGATACAGTATTTTGCCACATATAATGTGTTCCTATGTTTAATGCACATCCTTGTTTTTGGCCCAAACTTTCAGAAAAAAATCTTTCATTTTAATTTTTTAATTCATTCATTTATTTATATTTAGATACTTGTTTTGTATTATAAAGGAATTTTAGCATTTATTTTTTAACATATTATGGCACAACGTATTTTATGTACCAGTAACAAATTTATAATATTTACGTATCATTAGTACTACACATGTATTAATGCACATCCTTATTTTCCCTTAAAAATTTGTACAAAAAAGTGTGCATTAGAGCCCTGGCTGGCATAGCTCAGTGGATTGAGCGTGGGCTGCAAACCAAAGTGTTGCAGGTTCGATTCCCAGTCAGGGTACATGCCTGGGTTGCAGGCCATGACCCCCAGCAACTGCACATTGATGTTTCTCTCTATCTCCCTCCCTTCCCTCTCTAAAAATAAATAAAATCTTTAAAAAAAAAAAAAAGGTGTGCATTATACACAGCAAAATATGGTATATGTTTTGTTACTATTTTCTCATTCTGCAGTTTGCCTATTTACTTTCTTAATGGTATGTTTAATAAACAGAAAGCTTAATTTTGATGAAATCTAATTTATTAACAGTCCTTCTCCTTTTATGGTAACTGCTTTCTTTGTTCTTCATGAAATCTTTGCCTATGCCCAGGTCACTAAATAATCTCCTACATTTTCTTCTAAAAGCTTCACAGATTTATCTTTTACATTTCAAATGATAATCCAGTTCAAATTATGATGTGAGCTAGAGGTTACAATTAATTTGTTTCCTCTATGGATATCCAGTTGTTATGGCATCATTTGTTGAAAATACTTTATGTTCTCCACTAAACTACTCTGGTGACTTTGTCAAAATTAATTGACTCCATAAGTGTGGATTATTTACCGACTTTACTCTGTTCTACTGATCTACTTGTCTACCCTTAGGCTAGTATCACACTGTCTTGATTACTCTATCTTTTTAGCAAGTCTTTGAGTCAGGTAGCATTAAGTCGTCCAGCTTCAATAACCTTTTTCAAGACGCCTTTGGCTATTCTAGATCCTTTACATTTTTAAAATAAACTTGTCAGTTCCCATTTTCTTTTAAATCCTTTGATCAAGAACGTTTTAAACTACTATATAATCAATTTGGGAGAGAACTGACACTAAGAAAAATGGAGTTTTCAAAAGAATTTTTATTTTCAATTGCTGCTTTTAATATATAGAAACAGAATTTCAGAAGTTTAACTTATATCTTGATAAGTTACTAAAACTCATTATTAATTACTGTAGTTTTATGTCACCTAAGAACAGGAACAGATTTTACTTCTACTTTAAAAATTTTTGTCTTTTATTTTTCTTGCCATGTTGCACTGGTTAGGACCTGCAATAAAATGCTGAATGGTGGTTGTGAGCATAGGAATCCTTGTCCTGTTCTGATCTTAGATAGAAAGCATTCAGTTTGTACCATAACTATGTTAGCTGTAACTTTTTCATAGGCTAAGCAAGTCCCCTTCTATTCCTAGTTTGCTGAGACATTTTAGCATTCTCAGTAAATTCTGTTTAATGTTTTTACATCATTACGAATGCTAACATCAATATAGTCTCATATATACTGTAACCAAAGAATACTAAGGACGTTCAAGAGAAATACTTGTTCATTGCTCCCAATGATAGATCAACACATGGTATTATTTATCAAAAAGGGATTGTTATGTTTAAGACTAGAAACTGTATCTGAGATTTTTTAAAATTACTCTCCTACACAGTAAAAAAGCAAATATATCAAAATTCATATTCTTCCTGATCCACCTCTTGTTTTACTAGTGAAAAGAAACATAACAAATTATAAAGTTGTAAAATGTATTTTTAAGTCTTTCTTTAGTAGTTGTGCTCAACTGCATTCCTAACAAATTTTATGCTAACCCACGTCTCTTAATGTCTTGTCCTTTATCATATATATTAAAATGGTCACTTCAAAGAAACGCTTTAAGTAAAATTTGACTTTATATAAACACTTTTACTAAAAAAAAATTTAAAAACAGGAAAGAGAAAAACCACTTAAATGAATTTCTTTCCAGGTTCATTTTTTTGTATAGTTTTTCCTTTCTTCATTTTACGTAATTGAAATCATACTGTATATCACTTTATACCCTTTTTGTTTTGTTTTCACATTTATCCCAATGATTTTCTTTATAAGCATCCTAAATGTTAAAGCTAACTTTAATGTCTAAGTATCATATTGCTAGTTAACTTACGCTGTATGTCACCTTGCACAAAAAGCTATTAATATAGGTGACATGTGTGATTCTACTTTCATACTACTATTCAGCAGCTGTGCAATGTTAGGCAAGATATGGAATCTCTCTAAGCCTGAGTTTATTATCTGTAAAATGGGATTATGAAAAAACATATATATACAGGATGACTGTAAAAATTTAGTAAGTTATTGTAATATGTGTAGTTTTTAGTATAGCACGTGGCACACAGTGAGTACTAAAAAATGTTAACAATTATTATTCTTTCATCAATACAATCCTCTGAGATTTTGATTGCCCCTAGTAGCAGAGTTAAGAAGTGGCGAAAAATGGAAAAGGAAATCAATAAATTTCAATTATCAGTCTTGATTACTCAGGGGCAGAAAATCTAGGTTAGAGGTCATGCGTCACCTGCATGCTGTGTCACCTGTATCAACTGCTTTATTTGGCCTGCACAATATTTTAACATTTTTTAAAAAGTATTGAAACTATCAGTATTTTACACCTTTTATTCTTTGAATTTTTATAAGAGTTTATTTCCACTAAACTAAAGACAACTGCCAGGAGGCAAGGTCTCAAATGCAATATTTTACAGCTTTCAAATCTATGAATTTCATATGATCAACTTAATAGATGCTAACATTTTGAAACAGCATTTACACACACAAAATAAGTTTCTGACTTCTTTGGAAAATCAGGAAGCTACAGCAACAAGGTCAAAAGTCTCCACAGTAGTTATCAGCCAGAGCTTAGTAGCAGCTGCTGACACCATTAGCACATATTCTTTTCCATTTGTCACAGCCCATACCATCCTATTGTGCTTTATAACCTGAGAGCTTCACTCATTCATGTTGCCCTGGCTGGCCCCTGTGACCATTAGAATTGGAAACCTCTCATTTTTTGCACACACACACCTCTGGAGCGGCATGATGCTTATTTGAGTATTCACGGGGTCTCTTTTAACTGTGGGTGTTTTTTTTAACCTTACCCAAATTATAAATTTAGGTTGTTTTTTATGTAATGAATTGATACACAAGTTTAGAGAAGAAATGTGATCACAGGCATTTTTTAGATGTTAATTAAGGTATATTAACTCAACAGTCTACAGTCGTGACATATATAAAAGGGATCAAATAAAAATACTTAACAGTAACTTTTCAAAAGCAAATTATGATTACAACAGATGGTTCTGGAGTGAAGGACTACAATATATTTGTAGCTATAAAGCCCCAGGGTAAGTCATTAAAACTCAGAGCTTTATCTTTCCGTTATGTACAGTAAGATAATATTGCATACCTATGAAGGCTGGGGAGGAGGGCTGTAAATTAAGTATAAAGCTCAGTGCAATGGAAATGTCTATTAATGATCCCGCCCCCTAGTCATTCCCTCTGGCTCCTACTAAGAGAGAAAGTGTTGTATGAAGTTTTTTCTTATGATCTATGTTTAGGCATTACGTGGACAAAAAACTCAATGGAGCAGGGACGGGTTTAGAGTGATAATATCAAAAATCACCCAGGAAAGTCTATGCAAACCATTATAATTGGAGTTTATACTGTATTCAGAACTTTAAAGAAAACCATATAAATCTCATTACTGAAGCTATCCTTTATGTAAAGAACTGAGTAATAAATAAAATTTAACCAGCACCACCTGTAAGTAGACTAGACTGAGGCCAAGAAAGGCCCAAGGTACGCATCATTTTGTAATACGTTCTCATCAACCCCAATTCCTCTTCATCTAGAAGGTTAAGACGCGCGGCTTTATTGGAACACGGCGACAAAAGGGCTGAAACGCAGGCACCCGCCCGAGCGAAAACACACACAACCAGAGGAGGCAGGGCCCTCAGCTCCGGGGAACGGGGCATCCTGCGCTCCACCGGGTCCCCTGGAGGGGGGACCCGCACCTACCCGGGCGGCAACGGGGGCGCGGACGCGCTCCTGCACGGCGCCGGGCGAAACGCCGGCCTGGAGGCGAAGGCGCGAGTCCCGCCCAGGCCCCGAGCAGCCGCCAGGCTCACACCGGCCCCGGGAACGGGGCCTGAGCGGGAAGCACCGACCGGGCCGGCCAAAAAGCGCGGGGCAGCCCTGGCGGGCCGCGGCCGGGCTCCGAGAAGCGGCCGTTACCCTGCCCCTCCCCCGCGCCCCGACCTGCGGGCGCTGCCGCTCACCTGGTGGCGTCCGCAACGTTCCTGACGAACAGGGAGGTGTTGGGGGGCCTCGTGTAACGAGACATGTTCGCTTCCTCGTTCCCTCCGAGCCTGCCCGCGGCCGCCGGGCTCACTCCGTCTCTCGCTGCCGCCGCCGCAGCTCCGCGGGCCCCCAGCGCGACCCCCTCCCCTCGGCCTCAGCCCCGCCAGCGCGCAGCCGCAGAGGCGGGTGTTGGGGGTGGGGGGTGCGGAACGACGAGTAGGTCCGAGCAGACCAAGCGGGGGTGGGGCCCGAGGCCCAGGGTACCTGGGCGATACAGCAGCCCTGGAGGCCCTGGACCCGGGGGATGAGGAGTGGGAAACACGGGGTCCGGGTCGGAGGAGATCTAAGAAAGGGGGCGAGGCGGAAGTCCGCGGTCCGTGGGGATGCAGGAGGAGGCGGTGCTGGAAGCGCGGGTCTGGAGAAGGGAGAGGGGGCCCTGCGGCTCCGGGAGTTAGGGGGCATCTGAGAAGGGGGCTGTTTAGGAGGCCCGGGTAGGAGTGGCCCTAGTCAGTGGGCTGTCCCAGTGTCCCGGGGTCCGACGGCCTCGGGGGGAGTGGGTAGGACCCGTTTCCCGGGAGCGGGCAGCGCCGGAGGCCTGGTCTTGAGGAGTCCGAGGTGCGGACAGTTGGTGTCAGAGGGTGCCAGGAGGTTGAAGGCCAGAGGCGTCCTAGGTGCTGAGGTCTGTGAGCCGGGTGTTACAGAGTATCCCGGGTGGGGGTGGGTAAATGTGAAGGGGGTGGTCAGCGGCACAACAGCCCCAGAGTACGGGGGCCTTCCTCCCTGCATCCTCATCCCTGGACTTTGGCAATTGTTCTGCTTCCAGCCCCTTTAATCTTGAGCTTTATTCGGCTTCCAAACTATAAGGATTTTTCCCCCAGTGTTTTGAATCTTCATCCATTGTAGAAGTCCTCCCTTCTGTGGGGAGGATACTTCCAAGAGCCCAGTGGATGCCCGGAACCTAGAGTAACACCAAGCCTTTTATATACCGCTTTTCCCTAATGTATTTATACCTATGATGTAAAGTTTAATTTATAAAGTAGGCACAGTGAGAGATTAACAATAGCTAATAATAAAATAGAGTATAATATACTGTAGTAAAAAGAAATGTGGATTCGGTTTCTCAAAATAGCTTAATGTATGGTACTCACTCTGATGATGTGAGATGATAAAATGCCTACTTAATTAAGTGATGTGAATGAGGTAGCATACAGCTGCTATTGACATTCTAACCATATGTCAGGAGGAGGATCATCTGCTGCTGGTGATTCTGGATCATCAGGTTATGAGGATGTCATGATTGGCTGTCAGGAGCAGATGATGTGGATGACTGGGGAAATTTAATATTTTAGAGCCATAGTTGACTTGGTAATTGAAATCGTGGAAAACAAAACTGTGAATAAGGGGGACTACTGTATTCCTTTAAGGGATGCTATTCAGCTGTTAGTACAAGTGAATTCAGATGTTTATTGAGCATCTACTATATACCAGGCACTGTTCTAGATGTGGGATATAGCAACGAACAAAAGAGGCCAAGGCCCAGCCCTCAAAGAAGGATGAACAATAAAGGAATAAACAAATGAATACATCATGTAAAAGAAAGCAATGAAAATGCAGTGGCAAGTAAGCAAATTTAAATTACCCTCTCCCTCTTGCTCCAAAATGTTGTAGCCCAACCCTTTCTAGTTATCTTTGGCTGCTGTGGTTGGCATAGCCTGTTACCCAGGACTGTAATCAACTAACTTGTAATTGTTAATGGCACCCCCTTTCATTCTCAGAAGTGGTCAGTTTTAGAGAAGAAATAATGTGGTCACCCTACTTAGCCCACAGTGGATTCAAAAACTGACAGTCCCAAGGTTTGCAAACACTTCTGTAAGAGTGACCCTTCATTAAAAAAAGAATTGCTATGCAAGCAGGCAAAGGGCTAGACTGGGGATAGAATGGGGGGGGGGGTGCAGGCACACATTCCTATTCTCATGGAACTTACAATTTGGTGAGGAGGCAGAATCTAATAATCACATTAATAAAGATATAAACAATGATAAGGGTTGTGCAAAGAGTCATATAATGCCAAGAGGGGACCTTATGTGGCTTGGCAAGCATGGCTTGAGAGGGTCACTGAACTTCTCCCTGTAGAGGTTTTGGAGATTTGAAGAATGGAGACGGACAATTCATGCACTGGAATAGCATGTGCAAAGGCAGTATAGGAAATCAAAAGAAGCAAACAGGAGCATAAAGCTGGAGAACAGGAAAATGAGCCTGGAGAACAGGCTGGGTTTATAGTAGGAAAAGTGTAGAACATTGCCTGTATTTTCTCCTAGGACTGGTGTAACAAACTACCACAAAATCAATGGTTTAAAATGGCAAATTCTCTCACAGCTCTGGAGGCCAGAAATCTGAAATCAAGCTGTTGGCAGGGCCATACTCCTGCTGAAGTCGCTAAGGGAGACTTCAGTCTCTGGTGCCTCCAGACACTCTGGCTTGTGGTTGCACACCTGTAATCTCTGCCTCCATCTGATATAAACTCTCTGTGTCTTATAAGGACACTTGTCATAGGATCTAGGGCCCACCCAGGTAATCCAGGATCTCATCTCAAGATCTGTAATTGTATCTGCAAAGACCCTTTTTTTCCAAACAAGGTCAAATAAGGGGGAGTTAGGACTTGGACATATCTTTTCTGAGACCACATCATTCAATCTACTACACCGATCTTGCTGAGAAAAGAGATTTGACTTAATAGGAGGTGGCAGTTATGAATACACCTATTCCCTGACATATTAAGTTTATATATATATATATATATATGCATGTTCATATATAAATATTTTTTAGTAGAAGCATTACACTCAGATATTTTCTTTCTTCATAACTTCAGTACTGGCAGATTATTTTTAAAATGCTTTTTATAATTGGAAAAACCCTGCAAAGCTCTTTACAATTTGAAAGAAAAAAAAGCTTTTACAAGAGTATGTGAAAAGACTTACTGTGGATTGGTAGTGAGTTTTTTTCTGTTCCTTTTGATGAAAGTGTCTGAGGAAAGGGTATTAAACTGGAGGGAGGCTTAATTGAAAACTTTAAAAGTATCTGGAATTCATTTAAAATAAGTTGTGGAAATAGTAACTGGGTGAAGAAATGGATGTGTTCATTAGCTTGACTGTAGTAATTTCGCTATATATCAAATCACGTTTTACACCTTAAATGTATACAATTTTTATTTAAAATAACAGGTAAAATATGTTGTTGAGCCAAAATATTTATGTTACATAAAAGGGTATGCCCTGTTTCCAAATCTGATTTGAAGCAGCCAAGTGCAAACAAGTGTAAGTAAACTGCTTTCTAGTTGGAAGACCTGAGGAAGGACATTGTCAGGCATAGGCAACAAAAGAATGTTATGCAGTGTCCTTAAACCAGCTGAGATGAGTAACTAATGAAGCTGTTTTTAGGTTTCCCTTGGCATTTAAAGAAGCAGGGAGATCTTCCCTTTTGCAGCCATCACAGAGGCACCAGTAGTCAAAGTGAAGTTCAATCCCTTTGTGACTTTGGACTGGTGCAGGAACTGTAAAAGGCATTTCAGTGTACCTTCCCACATTTGCAGGAAGATTATAATCTGTCTTCTCTTTCCAAAGAGCTGAGACAGAAGTACAATGTTCAATCCATGCCCAACCAAAAGGATGATGACATTCAGGTTGTGCGAGGACATTACAAAAGGCAGCAAATTGGCAAAGTAGTCAAGTTTACAGGAAGGAATGTGTCATCTACTTTGAATGAGTGCAACAGGAGAAAGCTAACGGTGCAACCATCCATGTGAGCATTCACCCCAGCAAGGTGGTCATCACTAGACTAAAGCTGCACAAAGACCGCAAAAAAATCCTTGATCATAAAGCCAGATTTCACCAAGCAGGAAAGGAAAAGGGCAAATACAAGGGAGAAACACTTGAGAAGATGCAGGAATAAAGTAATTTAATATATAACTTTCATTAAAATCTTAAAGTGAAAAAAAAAGAAAACAAATAGGGAAGAGACTGAGGTCAAGACAGAATACCCTGTTTGTCAGAGGACATAATCCCGTTTACCCTATTCACAAACATTCTTATTTATCCTAAGTCCTAGAATTTAGTGAGGTGCCATTTAGTAAACTGTCACTTTAATGGATCGTTGTTTGAAGGCACTAAAGGGTACCCACAGGCTTTGGAGAGTCTCTAATTTCTGGAAAATGGGTAAGGTTCTCATCAGAGACTATCACACTTCACCTCACTTTTCAAGAGTAAATAGATTTTAAAACTTTCATCAAAATTACAGTTCCATAAAGAATGCAGTAAAAGAAAATCAGAATCTTTGTCAACTTGTTAAAACGTGTCTTAGTGTACAAGTACTTTAAAATCAGTAGTCTATAAGTTATGTTGAAAAATAGAGGCACATATGCATCTGTTTCTAATGTTTGAACCTTTACTCCCGAGTCCTGTCTCTGGGGAAGGTGCTGATAGCTAACTTATCATTTAGCATCTGAGCACTTAGGCCTCACCGCCTCATTCTCTATTGTCCACTTTAAGCCAGCTTCCTCTTCTACCAGAGTGTGTGGACACTCTGGAGCATCTATTCCACATGGCAGAGAGAAGAAACACAGAGAAATTGGCTAGAATTTACATTTTACATGTTTTTTTTCATGATTTTTCTCATGATTACATGTCTATGAGACTTTTAAAATTAATATTGGTGATAAAGTTTTACATTTCATCAATAGATTTTGGAGAAAAAAGTTTAAAAGAAGAAAATCATTGTTTCTGGGTTATTAGTAAAGTTTAAAATTCAACAGTTCCTGGTGCATAGTAGACCATCATAACTAATACTAATTACCACAGATAATCAAGAGATGCCAAGGCTGGTTTGTAAGACTGAGCAACACATACTTGTTATTCTAAAGTAATCCTATAGTACATTTTCTTCCATTTTTTAAGTGGGTCAAAGTAGGCTGATTATCAAGTCTGTAATTAAGGAGTCAAACCATGAAAGACTAGTATATTTTAATCCAACTAATTAGTTTTGTTTTTGACTGTCATATTGGATAACTAGAACTGATTGGAAATTAAA